TTAATATAATACAGACTTATTCCTTTCTGAATCTTGAGGAGGAGGTTGAGAGAAGCCTCCACTTTAACCCATGGTGTGCACTCCAGATACCCATAGAGGCTACTAATACACTACAGTTTGGGTATCTTCAAGTGCACCCCTGCATACCACAGAAACGTTAAGTCCTGTTTTTTTAGAATAGCAAAGTTAACAGCAATAATCTAGTATGGAGGAGCTGTTTCACTTCCCTTTTTTAGTCAGCCATTCAGCGCAGACTGATTCATTCCAAGAAATCCAACTCTTCACAAGTAATCTCTGCAAGTTCTTAGGGGTAGACCAGCCCTCTCAGGACTGACATTGTTTATGAACATTTCTTCAAATTACTAACAGCTGCTTATTCCGAGCCGTGCCTCCTTCACACGCATTCATAAAGGTTTGTAGAAGTCCTGCTCGCATCCAATTTGCTGCTTGTCATTAGGTACCCTCCTGCTTAAGGATGTCTCACATCACCCACTGGTGGAGCAGAAGAATGCCTTACAGCTGCAGAGGGTACAAACACTCACAGGCAACCAAGTTGGATCACATTAAGAAGTTACTACCCAGACTCAGCAGAGTTCTCTGAACACATTCAAGCTCCTGGACCAATGCAAATTCAAAGTGTTAAAAAAAAAATTAAGGAAGCCCATTCAAGTAATTAACTGTACAAAAGACATACTAAATAAACTAAAGTAGTATCAATATGGCAAAGTTAGTGTAGCAAATTTGACACTCAACCATCAGAATGAGCTTATGAAGTATTGGGCAAGTGGGACAAAGGCTATGAGTTTGTCAAGCTGATCAGCCGAGACAAATAATAATCAAGTTGCTGCCTTTATCAGCATGTATTGCCTCAATTCAACTTAGTGGTAGATATTTTATTTAGAATTTCAAAAACAAATTTTCAAGCATGCCCAGTCTCACTTCAGCAACTTCAACACCAGCTGTAGAAGTAATACATATTCTCTAAACATAAAGGAAAGAAATTACTTGCTCTGGCTTTGCAGCCACTGTTATACTTGAAGTCTTTAAAACTCTGAAGTCATTCTGTACTTTCAGCATTTCACTGATGGAAATGTGTGAATTACATGTCCCCAAAATAAACTCTGAACTATACAAATAAATACAGCACAGTCACAAGCTCCCCTCCTCTAGCGTTTTATAATACTTATTCTTTGTCTGTAAACATGACTGCTAGGACAAAAAGATGTGAGGTCAGCAGCACCTAACAACTCTGAAATGCTATCAACATTATAGAACATTTCCAAACCAACATAATGTGGAGTGTATCAGCTCCAATAAATTTATTAGTTTCTGAGGTCAAGCATTTTTCTTTTAGTAGCCACTTCCAAGCTGTTTGAGGCTTTCTTCCCTTAGTAGAAGGGAGGCACTTCATTTTAATTGCAGAAAAAATTACACCCACCCATCCCCTCCCCCCCCCCCCAAAAACCCAGTAGAAACAGTTAAATACAAAAACAGCAGTAAAAACAAGCAAATACAAGAAACCTATCTTCTAAAGAAGTCTTCACTTTAAAACCAATCTGTGACCTAAGCTTTTTATTTTGAAAGTATAGTTTAATAACATGGTGGGAAAAAACTTGTATCAGCAACAGTTGGTAAACAGCTATAGAATTTTCACCATATTTAAAATCTAATATAGTACCTATCTCATATTAGAAATAAAAAAAAAAAAAAAAAATTGCTTCAGATAAAGATACAAACATCGTAGTCAAAATGCAGGAGCGCAACCGTCGACATGAAGCTTCAGTCCTGAAAGTCGCCCAGCAAGAACCGTGAGCTAGAGCTCAGCGCCCGTGGAGCAAAGCACCACTGCTGGGAATAACTCCACGTTCCTAGTTTTGCAACAGAGCTATTTTTTACTGCTTCTGGTATTAAAACTAAGCATGCTCGTATTTGCTGGATTGGGTTTTGCAGAAGTGCAGTTACGGGCATAACTGTGTCTTACTCGTCGTAGGTCCTCCTTTAAGAACAGGGGGTACAAGTTTAGGACTTACTGGGCTTCTTTTTATATCTAGATCTGTCTTTTCAGGTCACCCTCCCTCACTCAGCAAAATTAAAAGGTTAATACAATCACAAGTAACATGATTTCCATCCCAACATCCTCACATTACTTCCCAATTCTTTATTAACAGGTTTAAACATCTGTGTTTCCCAAAGTTATAGCATGGTGGTTATTCCTTAACTTTTGATATAAGAATTCTACCTAAAATGTAAAAATTAGATTAAAAAAAAATGCTGGAATCCCAACTCCCAAACCAATACCACTATAGTTGTATACATTAAAGCAGCAAGACTTGTCTTTACCTGCAAAAATAAAGATCCAGAATACAAAAGTTAAGCAAAGATAGCAAAAGACCTAACACAAAGGAGCATTGAAATATTACAATCAAAACTCCCAGTGAAGTGGCAGCCAACTGACATCAAAGATGATAAGAAAAGCCTTCTTGTTAATTGAAAGCAACATGGAATCTCTTTCTGACCAGAAACGCATAGAGTAATCTAAAACAGCTTCAGTACACAGAAAACTGCATCCTTTGACAAAACTTCAGCCTTCTGGATAACTCCTTGCAAACTCAACATGCTCCAAAGATAGTTTCTATTGTGGCATAAATGAAGAATCTGTAATTAAACTTTAAAAAAAAAAAAAAAAAAAAAAAGAGAGAAGAAAATACTTGCAGCCTGTAAGTTTAGCCCAGACTGGAATACTGCAACAAGATCCTCTTCCTTAACTTTCTTTTTAAAGTGTGCCAAAACCATTAGTTAGAAGAATAATCTAAATAAAGCCATTGTTAAAAAAATAAAACTACATCGTACCATGGCTGGAACAGCTAAGGAACTGGTCAGGGAGGAAGGATTATTTCCTGGCACTGTAATGTGGCAACAGACTGAGTTCTCTCTCTCTTTGTATTATTATATTAAGTTTTCGAAATGTTTTGCACAAATAAAACTGAGGTTTGTAGCTCATCTGTTTAACAGATGATCAATTGCATTGAGCAGCAGGACTTTGTTTCTAGGTGTACTGTGTAAAAAAAAAAAAAAAAGCATACATACTTAGTAAGGAAAAGAAACTAAAGTCCAAATTCAGTTTTTGTTCACCTGCCAGGTCACCTTGCCAAACCTGATACCTGAGCCCAATTATGCAGGTGCAGGTAAGGATTCAACTGCATTGAAGGCAACTGAATTAACCAGCGTAAGCAAGATCGCTATCAGCCTACCTAAGCAAGACTGTACTAGAGTAGATCTGGGCTGGACGTGCAATTTAATTCACCACTCTGATTCTGGATAAGCAGACCTTCAGAATAATTAGTGCTGTCAGAGACAATGCTCAATGTCAGTTATAGTATTTAAGTTGTATAGTGTTTGTCTGAAGAGATGAAACACTCAAATGCCAGATACCTTCGAGCTTCTCAAGCCACCACCACAGCTCTTAAGGACTTACACTCCTAACTAACAGTTTGTTGCAAGTATTTTGGCTTACACACAAGTACTTGAAAGACGGTAAGTCCTCTCTGACCCACCATATTTCATTAGATGCAAACTTCCTCCAAACAGATGAGACTCTTGAGTTAATAAAACAAAGCTCTAACAGCTATACTATTAAAGCTCTGCACCATACTGTACTATCTGTTGAGCTTCACTTTGAAATGCACTGGCAGATTAAATAACTCTGAAATAAGAATTCACTCATGATAGAAACTTGACAGAAAATCGTGAGGTACAGTGGAATAGACAGCTGATCAGAAAGTAAAATAAATATACAGCATGAATTCAAGTCAGCAAACTCACGTGAAATAAATAATGGAGTGTCTTCTATACTTAAAATGTTTCGAGTTGTTAATCACCAATACTGACTGCTCATAACCAGTTTCAAGACTTTGGCAGTTGAAGCAAAAATAGCAGCCATTGAAGTACCGATACTTTTGATCATGAAAAACATTATAATGATTAGCATCTCATGCCAGTTTGCTCCAAACCCCCGAGATGTAAAATAAAACTGTAAACATCTTCAAAGTTATATGCCAAGAGTCTTCTCACTATTAATCACAGCCGTTGCACTTGAGGTTGTACTCTCAATTTCACTAGCATTAACTTGGGATGAAAACTGGTCCAAGCAAGCAAAAGTTGATGTTCTCACAACACTACATTACTACTTCAGTGCAAGCAATAGTCAGAAGAGGCAGCAGCTGTTGTCCTCAGACCAGAGAGCTAAGGAAAAAGAACAAGCCACAGATACATTCACAGGCAAAGCTACAGAAAGCAATCGAAGAATTTTAAGCCTACCACATCAGAAGGGTATACAGTCAGTCTAATGACAAAATTTAAGACACAGCTCCCTGAACCTCTTAGCAAACTCCTGTGATGTTTCTCTCAAGTTAATGAGAAAGTCAGCTCATGGAAAAACTCTGGTCAGCAAAGAAGGGTGCAGGGCTGCACAAGTCAGATCTGGGGAGCGGATGTGTGCGCACAGGCCAGGGAGATGAGAGGGAGAAGGCATTGCTCTCATCAGGCAGTAAATATTACATCAGCTCAGAGCCTCAGGAAACAGCCTTCAGTAGAAATCCAACATTACTGCATGAGAAAGTACAATTTGGTACAGCTTAGAAGGCATCTCTCTAATGTAATCATCTGCAGTTTTGTAAAAGCTGAGGGTGGCTGCTGTAGAGCGATGCGGTCCAATGAACAACTTAAAGCACTCTCCACTTACATTAAAACAAACAAACAAACATTCAGAGAATACCACTACAGTCAGTAACAGCAAGACAATTCTAATAGTTTGTATTGTTCTACACTTGCAGCAACTAATCTCAATCAAAATCTTAAAGAAGTAAATAAAAAGGTCTATTTTAAGGGAATTCTAGAAGTAGTTACTGAATTTTCTCTTCGAATTTTTCATCTAGAGGGGAAGTTCAGGTGAAAGCAGAAAAGTTTGTTCTCTTAGAGCAATTGTGTAGATGTAAACTCACCGTGTCCAAGAACCATGAGATTGTAACCGCACTTCCACTTGGATTTACGATACATAATCAAAAGCCACACTCGCAGAGGGAAAATGACCTGTTGATGGTGGCTGTCAACAATGGGTTCAGATCAGTTAGCTGCTAGTGCAGACAGGACATTTTTCAACACTGTGAGAGAAAGTCAGAGCAAGACCATATGGTTAAGCCCCATCCACATCAGCACCAAACAGCTAGCATCAGCAACTGAGAACTGTCTGCTGGGAGAGGCAGAGGTGGGAAGTCTACCTGTTGCTCACAGCCACTGTAAAGACTGCTTTCATAGACATTTACCAAAGCTGGCTCAGTGTCTACTGGACTAAATGCATTTTGAGAAAAGCATGAATAACACGTCTTTGAAGACAGCATATAGTCTTGGGTCCAGTCAGTATACCTAGTGCAGAGGAATGCAATACTCACTTGTTCAAAATTATTCAAGGAATTCAGTTGCCAGTCAGTTGGTTTCAGCACGCTCAAGATTTACTGAAATTTAAGAACATGTTCTGGAATTATACTGGATAAGTCTAAGTTTTACATTTACAGAAGACTGACAGTTGCAGGTAAGCATTAGACAAGTATTGTCAGCAGACACCCTGTCTGTATGCTATCCAAAACCATGCAAAATAAAGGGATGAAAGAGCTGGCTTTAACTTCAAAGTACTTTTGAGTAGGGGGAGCTGGACCAGATGATCTCCAGAGTTCCCTTCCAAAATAAATGATTCTATTAATTGACAAACCCGGCCACTAGTGCAAAGGCATGAGCTTTGCATGCAAAGGCAGAAGCACTGCATCACAGAACTATTATTTATCACCTATTCTGACTGGCAGGTATGCCTGCACTTAATTGTTACCACTAGCATATAGCAGGGTGCATTCTGTAGTTAAACAACTTCAAGGCAGCATAAAATACCACTGCCTGCAAAAGCAGCAGTCCTGCATGCTGCCCTGCATTTAGAAGACATAAGGTTTTTGTATAACCACGGTGTCCACAGATTCATGCCCCAATCTGTTTCTCAATTGGATTTCATAGGTTTCACACGTGCATCTGAACACAGGACAGGAACAGAGAGCTGAGACCACCTTTCATATAGTGGACTTTGTGTTCATTTCGAGAAAAATAGCAAAATTATATATTTTTAAATGCATGGACTAATTAATAGTGACATGGCAGAAAACAGTTTGCTCCTGAGCAGTACTTAAAAGTAGTGTTTAATCTTGAAAAACAAGGGAACATAACTACTCCTATTCTTATATTTGAAGCTAATTCTGTTTTCTTTATACTCGCTCTTCTAGTCAACTTATTTTGTTCCTTTAGGTAACAAAAGCTACATTCATCAGCAAAAGACAGCTTAGTACAGTAATAATCTTGTTAGCATGCATATTGAGTTAATACTCCGCTTATATGAAGTTTGAAAATTAAGCTGGAAAACAAGCACAGTAACAGCAACAAACTAAAAATTTCAATTCTGTCTCAGTTACAAAAGCACACTTGCAACAACCTTTTGTTCTGTCTTCATCAGGTTTAGTCATTTCCTGTACATTTCTCCGTAGCACCATTTTTCTATTACAGCTTTTGCTATGCTTGGGGGCTATAAGGAACTGAAGGAATTAACGGCTCAAATATTCATTGACACAGAAAACTTTGACAAGTTGTGGCCTTTGTGATTAGTCTAAGGAACGCCAGGTGAGGAAGCGTGGAGTGTACTGAAGAATGCAATGGCTTCAATCCCTTGCAGTTGTATTGCCAAACTCCTTAGATAAGCCTCAAAGGGGGGTAATGTGGACTGAGTGAAACCATATGTTCAGGTTAAAGGACTGGTAAGAGAGATAAATAACCAGCACGAGAATGACCTAAGCAAAAACTGAGGAAAAAATAAGGGGGGGGGAGCATGACCACTGACTCAACTGACAAGGGGGTTGGTGCACCCCATTCCCCTGCAATGCATGGGCAGGACCCATGTTCCACCTTTTCCTCATCTCTCATGGTAAAGAGTTCATGGAATACCTGCCTCTTTTGGTATAGTATGCTAATCAGCTGATAAAGATAAGCTTAAAAGATGACAGAAAACTTTGCTATGTGTGCACCCACCGCCCAAGATAACCTGACCTGAGACAATGCTGGGACCTGGGTGACAAACCAGAGTCTTTTCCACTCTCTGTTCTTTCCTTTCCTGTCTTTCTTACAGATTTATCAATAAGAGATCACGTTGATTACTATCCTTTTCCAAGTTTAAGTTGTTTCTACTGCAAGTAGAACATTTTAACTGGTCGTTTGGTGCTGTTTCACCTTAATTTAACCCAAGGGGATCACAGAACCTTTACAACACCCTGGGCTTCCAGTCCAGGTAGCACAACAGAGACCTAGGACTTTGGACAACTTGAGAGACAAGAAGACAAGCACTGTTAGTCTACTTGGTTCGGTGGCATGATGTAGCACCAATTCTTCTTATGAGGAATGACACCAAGATAAAAATTACCAAAACACCTTTGGGAGGAAAAAATGAGGCACAGTTTGTCTGCTAACATTAATGAAAGTTATTTCCATAACCAGTTGCTACAATAAAACTTGGGGTATACTAACATTAACACATCCTGGGGTCCAGTTTCAAAAAGTCTTCTACCAATAATTCTTCCAAGTTGGTTATTTGGTTGCATGCTGGGAAAGAATCTTCTAGCTCTGCCTGGCAAAGGTAAGCTGCAGAAACTGAACAAGCCCCAACAGAGACTCCAGCAAGTGTGCTAAATTGGAATGAGAAGACAAGTGGAGGACAGAAAATACAGTCTCTGAAGACTGTGGGACAGTATCTGAAGATTGCCAAAGCTTAAGTAATGCTTCCGAAGACTAATCGCCATCCTCGAGACAGAGTAGAGTCTGAACTGTAAACTATGGCTGAGGACTGGACAACTGAAATTAGACTTGAACACCACACTCAATCCTTCAGCATAAGAGTTAGGCCTAACAAAAAACAGAGTACCATGGTTAAGCCTGCAATGAAGACTGACTAGGAATTCCCACATACTTCAATTACAATAGTGACTACTAATAGCGAGTGTAGAAGTCCTTGGGATTTTAAGTATCTATGTATCAAGAGACATCTCTTCCCCACTTTGATGCATGTCTTTGAAGAGCTGAGCAACTTTATTCTGGTAACACAAGCAGAAACCAAAACAGCCTGTCATTTAATAAAAGGAGGTTCAGCAGGAGTAAAAGAAGTGGGGGGAGGGAAAACTCCACCAAGTGCCATTGCTCTTCCACACCACCACAATGGAAGGGAATCCTGCTCCACTCAGGGCTGTGAGCCACCTGGCCAGAAGCCATGCTTATGCACAGCTACTTGGCCCTGAGGGTTGAAAATAAAAGATGAACAGCCAAATATGAGGCCAACAGACACAGCTGTCAGGCAGGGATCAGCAGACCCAATGACTGTAGCATTATGAATGCTCCAGCCCATGTTGGTGGCCTGTTTTGCACTATACCCTATTCTTTCCCTCAGTTATTTCCTTCCGCTCTTTGTCTACCTACTGTAACTCCTACTTGTGCTCTGTTTCTCTCCCCTACCTCTTCCCTTTTTTGTCTCTTCAGAGTCCAAGGTCTTACAGGCAGACTTCTATTCATACATCATACAAGCACTGCAAAATAAAAGTTCACAGTTTTTGGTATGTTTAGCTGATTGTAACAGTCCTTTACCATCTCAGATTTTTATAAAATTCAAGTTTCTTAAATGCCAGTTGATGGATTCTGTTTATAATGCTATCCTTAGTCACAGCATGTCAGTATTAAACACAGGAGTTAAAAAATAATGTAGTGTGCTGATTTAGCGTCTATAAGGGGGGAGTTTGGCCACTGCAGAGACGTCTGATCTACAGCTCTCACTCACATAAACAGTCCCTAGCCACACAAATAAAGACTGTCAAGATCCTTCCCCAAATTCCTGCAGGGAAAAGAAATTAAAACGATAGCAGATTGGATGGAACAGCTCTAAGAAAAATCAATAATGGTAGCTGTAAAATCTAAAATTAAAGTAAGTCTGGTTTTGATGCTTTCAGTACACACAGTACATTAAATTTGGCATAAGCCCAATGGAACATAGAGTACTTGTGGACAATGTCTGCCAAGAGCTAGAAATACGGCACTTAGTCTTTAAAGAACAAACAGAGAGCCTCAGACCATTTCTACTTTATGCATCTGAAAAAAAAAAAATTAAATCAAGGTGATCTTTCTGAGGGAACATTTGTATTAAATCTAATTGGTGTGCTTTGTGCAATACTGAATTGAGCATCTGCTGATTGGCAGAGAATCGGTATTTGTCATTTTATAATCCATTCCACTTGGGACAAAGGTTACGAACAGATGTTATACCTCCCTATAATTCCAAATCACTGTCTTCCTCCTTAGCATCAGGCTTGTGTCTCAGATAAGCTCTGTACCTGGTCCTTGGTCACGGTGGTACTTCTAAACATCTGACACAGTGGAAGCAGAAGAAAGAAATGGGAAGCATGAACTCAGGAAATTCACGTTACACTATCAGTTTTTTCACCCACCTTCACATTTGTTGGTACTTCATTAGTTCACATGCCTTGGAGCAGAGTAAAATTTGATTAGTAACTGAATACTAATTCACATTTCTGTAGCAGCCTCTAAACATCAGCAAATTAAGCATCAAAACACCTGTGAGTTCCTTACCTGTATTAAAATAAGGAGGGAGGAAAAAAAAAAAAAGGGGGGGAGGGGGGAGACAAGCCTAACGCCCATCTGGGGCTTTGGAGACATCATCCATCATCCTCTCCCCGCCACCTCCCCGTACGCTGAGCTCCTAGTTGGACAGGAGAGTGGAGGGCAATCCTGGCTTTGTTAGGTTTCCTGCTGTTATACACGGGAGGGCTTACACATCCTTCCCCCCCATAACCCCCAGGGATTCGGGAAGGAACACATCCCCCTCCTGTCTTTAAGGCCAGTTCGAGGGGCTGGCCCAGAAGAATCGCAGCCCCAGCACTGCCTTGGGAAACTGGAGAGCAAAAGGAAACAGGCGATGCTACGTTTGACATATGTCCAGAGCAAGGCAAGAAACTTCTCATGCCATCTCACTCTCCATGTAAGCCAAGCACTATCTAGATCTCTAAAACTGGTACTT